TTCTCTTTTCAACACTGTAGAATTTGCAAGAATGCTGAGATGTGGGCACAAGTCGCATCCAGTATGAGCAAAAATTATAGCTCGGTCAGAACTCAAACGTGCATCTCCCGCTTGACGGGTGTTTGCGTAATCCATTACGCTACAGGCTCTTTATGCTATTGCCATTGACTTTTGCCCATATCTCAGCATTCCTGTGATAACTGATACCGATCTAAGGGAGATAATTCCAACACCCGTTGAAGAATCTCTTTATAATGAGCCTTTCCTTCTGCAGATAGGCATTGATATATTTTTTCGAGCTGCATGAAGGCCATACAATCATCACTCTTTTAAGCACCTCTTCCTATGTTATGAAACTCGTAGTTTTCATTTTAAAAGTATTTTTGCTTCGCTCCTAGGACCGCTACCGGTTTTGGCTTATGGCTGCACAGGTGTACATGAAACAAAATGCTGTCGGTAGAGCTGCCTTGAATATGCAATTCACTAACCTATAGCACAGTGCCCCTCCGATTTGGCTACTCACAACAGCGTGGGCTAAGCTGCAATGTGTGGAGTGAAGAAAGATCTTCAATACTTTGGGAATATGGGGAGACTCTCCGCTAATCATGGAAGGCACACCACATAGGGGAATGCTTCCACCACGAACTGGGAAGCCGTGCTTTTGCTGTCCATGAATGTGTGAGAAATTTTGATTTGGAGAAGCGAAAATTCATCCCACTTCTGCAGTAGAAATAACAGCGGATCGGCCATCCCTCGTGCGAGCAGATCTTTGCTGCTAGTCCCGTTCGCACTTCTTATTTCAAAAGTATCTCCACATCATCTCGATGTCTGCTACCGGTGCTCATGCTGAACAGATGTGCATGGGATTGTAATGTGCCGGTAGAACTATCTAGAAAAAGGTGTTTCTGAACGTGTGAGAATTGTTGACTTGGAAATTAGGGGCAAAATGTTCATACTATTTTTGCAATAGAAATAACAGTGTGTCGGCCATCCTTCCTTCGAGCGGATCTTCACTAAGTCAGGTATGCACTTCTTATTTCGAAAGTATCTTCACACCACCTCGAGAACTGCTGCCGATGTTAACTCATGACTGAGTAGATATACATAATTGTAATGCTCTTAATATGTAGAACAATCTTGGATCGTACGGGATTTTGCAGTGCGCTTACCTGTAGAGCTGAGCCCCTCGCCTTGAGAACTCACATGACCTTCAAAACCTTAAGGATTGTGTGGAGTAAATTCTTTTCTATTGTCGTTCTTGATTGATTTGGTGGGGCATATTACTATTCTGATTGATGAAGTCAGAGTGAGTATGGTAGGATAGGCTATGTTCATACCTTTCGGCAACGTACGTCAGCGTACGCTGGCTTTCCCTGCATTCGGCAGCGGCAGTGAAAAGAGAAGGATAGATATCAATCTGGCGTTTGCCAGCGCTTCACTAGCGTTTGCTACAGTTTACAGCACCGTTGTGTGGAACCCATAGGGGTCGCAATTGGCCGCTGGGGAAGGGAGGGGGAGTCGTTGAGACCACTCCTCTTTCCTCAGCGGCCAAATACGACCCCCTTAAATGAATAAATAAATTAAAATCCTTTCGCGGCGAAATGAGTATACCTTCCTGGCATTTTCGAATGAGGGCAACTCGGATCGCCCGGTTTCCATGGGCGATCTTCCTTCCAAGTGGGAAATGGGTATTCCTTCCAGACATTTTCAAATGAGGGCCAGTCTCATTCCGCGTATGAAGTGGCCACCCCCCCCCCCCAGACTTTTTCGAATGAGGGCAACTCGGATCGCCCGGTTTCCATGGGCGATCTTCCTTCCAAGTGGGAAATGGGTATTCCTTCCAGACATTTTCAAACAGGGCCGGTCTCCTTCCGCGTAGTGACTATCTCCCCCCCCCCCCCGAGCAGGGCACGCCATTGTGTTGTGATCATTTCCTGAAAAATACGACCCCCTATTCTATCTTCAAGTGCGATCCCCCTCCCCATGTTACCTCTTCCCTAGATTTTTCCAACCTCCTACCACTTTGTCTATTTTTTCCCAAAAAATTTCTGGTTTTTTTACAAAATTTTGCTGTCGAGCGGAGGGGGGGGGAGGTCGCAGTACCTACGTACGTCCCAAGCGCGTCCAGCACGGCGCTGGTTTAGCATACTGACAATACGTACGAGGGAGGGGCGATGATAGAAGCTACGATCACCGCCCACAAGGGCACCAAAAGGACTTATTACTGACGATGAATAAACGGACGAAAGTACATTCCCGGACTTTTCTGATTGCAGGAGCACATTTGCTTGCAAGAGGGAAGCCCTATCTAGAAGTTACACCTTCCAAACACTGAAAGCCCCATGCATGGCGCATTGCAGAGGTCATGCCTTTCCACCCAATAGCCTATTTCCTGAAAACATGTGTTTTAGAAGCATACCAAAGTATTCAAGCCAACGAGGTTTCATGGTGTCGGAGTGGCTGATTTTTCGTGTCGTGGGGGGGGGGCGGGCGGGTGTGGTCGAAATGATCACAACGGGGAATTTTTCGAGTAGCAGGCCTAGGAAGAAAACCAAACCTTGCTGGAATGTAGAAATCTTCAAGCTTCCGACACAATTCTTTTTTTTACGAACGGCCGTGTATGAAGCTTGCCATGGACATCCAAAGCGTAGCGACTCGCGGTTCGCAAAAATCACAGACGGATCACAACGATGATCACAACGGGGAAAATCTCAGGAATCGGAACGCTTTTAAAATCGCTCAATTCAAGTGACAAGATCCAACCTAGCTCTATTCATTCCCACTCACTCCTCTCCGATAGCTTCACTTTCAACGAATTATGGGTATTCAAATGAGAGGTACTTTTCACGTGATGGCTTGAAATTGGCTCCAGGCCGTAAAACAGCGCGCACCAATGAGCCTGTATGAGCGCGCTTACCACGAACAGCCAAAATTCAAAAGTAATCCATAGTTCCGGTTTCCAGCCGGCCTGGTGAGTTTTTTCTTATCCATTTGATTGTGAATTATTCTGATTATTTGTTTTTGTTGTTGATTTTGTTGTGAGGAAATTGCTCAGGATTCAATTTCTACGGTTTCATAGGTAGCTTTTGCAATGGATTCTTTTCTAGATTTTGCGGATTAGTGGATTGGGATTTATCTAGGCCAGAAGATGAGGGTTGGTGGGCGAAGTGTCTTGAAGTTTTTTTGTGAGGAAAGAGGGAAAAGTTTCAGCAATATTTTTTTTCTTGGTTCTTGGCCTAGGAATAGTTCGAGAGTGCTTAGTTCTCATCTACATCGTCTCTCGAGCTTCTTTTCATATCACCGCTTTCTCCACTTCAACATGGGCCATGCGTTTACGACCCCCCCCTCCATCGCGGGCAAATAGACCCCCCCCCCGTTGTGATGATCACAAAGATGGCGTGCCCTGCCCCCGAGACTCTTTGAAATGAGTCGCATCGCGTGGCTTTGATGGGCGTCCTTCCTTCCGCGTGTGAAATGGGTATTTCTTCCAAAAATTTTCAAATAGGGCCAGTCTCTTTCCGTGTATGAAGTGGCTACCCCCCCCCCTCCCAGACTTTTTCGAACGAGGACAAGTCGGATCGCCCTGTCTTTTTCGAATGAGGGCAAGTGGGGTTGCCCTGTCTTCATGTTCGATCTTCCTTCCGCGTGTGAAATGGGTATTCCTTCCAGACATTTTCGAATGAGGGCCAGTCTCCTTACGCGTGTGAAGTGGCTATCCCCCCCCCCCAGACTTTTTTGAATGAGGGCAAGTCGGTCGCTCGGTTTTCATGTTCGATCTTCCTTCCGCGTGTGAAATGGGTATTCCTTCCAGACATTTTCGAATGAGGGCCAGTCTCCTTCCGCGTGTGAAGTGACTACCTCCCCCCCCCCCGAGAGTTTTTGAAATGAGGCGGGTAGAATACGCTATTGATTGAGGTAGTATGCGCTAAGTGTGCCAAATGGTGGCAGTTATTTTTCTATTGATATGTAGGAAAATGAATCGATAACAGCTCAGCACCCGTCCTTATCTACCAAGATCTTGTCCGTTTTGCTTACTACAGACCTTCAGCGGTGAGGAAGCTGCACAGTTTCATTGAGAACTAGCAAACTTTGCCTGAATTATTCGTTCCGAGTGACGGACGAGACCCTAGCATACGAGCCAAGGCTCTATACTGCCGATTTGCATCATTTTTGAAAAGTGGGCGGAGTTTCTTCGAAGTGGGCAGATCCTCTCCCATTGGACGGGGCTTCACGCAGCAGCCCAAAAATGCAGTTTTGAAAAATTATGAATATTTATTATTATATATTTATATATTTTTTTATTAAATTATTAATACTCCGTAAAAGCAATTGGGCGTGGCCAAGGGGGCGTAGCCTAAATTGCTGTGCATAAATGCGCGGGTGCGAGTATCTTCGTTGTGAAAAGGGTGGATGTAAAATCAAAAAGTTGAAAAAGTTATAAAATTTCGGATTTCGCAACAAACTTTTTGAAGAATGGGCGTGTCTTCCATGTGTCCATGTCTTGAAAATCTATGTCCGCGCTGACAAGTAGGCAAGACTTTCGGGGCTGGGCTCGCAATGGTGTCTGGCATGACCTAGTTGGTGGACTGCCCGGTTCAAAAAGAGTGAATTTGGTTTGAAAGGTGGCGCATGTTAAGTGAATAATGATATATAATATAATATATATATATAATATATATATATATTTATATATATATAATATTATATATATATATATTATATTATATATATATATATGATATATATATATATATATATATAAATATATACTATATATATATATATTATTATATATAGTATATATGTTATACATATATATACATACCCCGGTTGCCGCGGTTTAGGGCAAGCTCCGCCCACTGTGGATTTCAACACATTTTGAGCATGCCCAATACTCGTCAGATATTTACATTCTGCACTGAGCTTTTTGCGGCTTCTGAACACTCTTGTGAACCGAGCTACTGATTTGCGATTGTTAGTTCTATGTCTAATTTAACCGTAGTGGTCCAATGAGGACATTGTGTTATTTCGAACATTCGGTCAGATACTGGTCTGTGGGCGATTCTATAGAACCAGAAGCAAGGTAGAGGTAGGAAGCATCTACAGAACATCCCTTCGCAACTGTTCATACAGCCGGAGTATCCTGGATATTTCGCACTGTGACTCAACTGTGCAACCGTTTCGTTTTGCTTGAGCCTGTCGCATTTGTACTCAATGCATGACCCCGCATTAGCGCAGCGTTTGGATTGATATATTGTTAATTTCGTTGGCCTAGTGAAAAATTCTGTTATTTTAGAGCACTCAAATTCGACAGCTTTTTTGACCAACTTGGCTGATCCAACGGTTTTATTAGCATGTAGAATTTCAATACACAACTCCGATCGGAGCTTGTTGAATAAAAGCTCTCTGCTATATTCTAGATGACATCGATTGTTTTCATTGCACACGAGGTCAGCCGAGTGACAAATGAAGCCGTACTGGCATGCGCCTGTGGGCGATACTAAACATACTAGGGCACATAATGCAACCACAGCACTAGGGAGTGGTGTTAGTTCGAAACTACAAATTGGTGCTGACGATGCATCTGTTTCATTGTCTTCTGGTCTTAGTATTTCTCGTGAGATTTCATCTTTCTAGTGATTCTGACGGCAACCCATGCAGCAAACATGAATGCTGCTATTATGAGATGAATTAACACTGCTGAAGTAGGGATTGCTCGAGCAGGCCAGCAGTGGGGGTTTCCCAGTAAGCTTTTTGAGAGCAGATATTGATGTTCACAAAACTTTGGTGTGTCACCAGCCAGTGTTGCTCTTGTACTCGTTTGTGCTGAAGTACGTAATTGCACATTGGCTCCTTTTTCAGTTGGAGGTATCGGTAGTAAGTACTTGATGTAGCGTGTTGTGTTATTCATGGATTGACAATCATTATCGATGCGTAATTCAAACCAGCCCTTGATGGGTGGTACGCTAATTACGCCACTCTAGCAAGATATGATGGAAGAGTTATTGACTGCCATTGTCGGGCTAATCAGTAACCACAGTGGTATTGCAAGGAATAGCAATGACGATGATATAGATGCCGTCACATATGACTGGCTTGAATTCCTATCCGTATTGCGGAAAAGGTCATATGCGCGTATTTCTGAGGCTCGAGAAAGATCTCACCTCGTTTCTACCAAAACCTTTATTGTGTCCTCTTCCGCACTGCTGTTTGTAGGCAGTTCTTCGTTAGCATTTTGTGCTGCTTCTTTGTCGGTGTCCTGTTTCTTGGGCATACAGCGGATTTCGAGAGGACGGATTTTGTCTACTACTCTACGACTGGCCTTGTTATTAGGGATTAGTACTTAATCAGGCCTCAAATAACTACCGACCAAAGGGATTATCTAGGTCGCTTTGCCGCAAGGAAGTTTCCTCCTGGGTATCCAGCCCTTTTCAATCGATTCAGCCTCGGACCCCGTTACATGTTGTTATCGTCTTATTTGTTTCTTTTGGAGGCATCCTTGTTTTGGCTGTTCAATAACTGCTGTCAATGCATAGAAGAAGTCATTTGAGGGCATTTCTGCGGTTAGAAGACCTTTGCCATAAACGGTTGGTCCAAAAATGTTTTCGTGATATGTAGTAGCGATGGCGTTTTCAGCGGGTCATTTGGACAGTATATCGGTTCATGATAATAATCCAAACCAACGAGCATGTGAGGTTTTGGTATTCACCACAAAGTTGGCGAGGTAGATACTGCTTTTCCAAAGTATCACGTCAGCTGTGCATAGCTTGACGCTTGGAAAGCCACTCGTTATGACTGGCTTTGTTTGAATTTTCATTTCACTTTCTTCGCCGAAAGCTGTACTCAGTTTTGTGCGTACTATATCACTTTTGAATCTTTCAATATGGCCGCCCATACCTGGCATGGTGCGGGTTTCGGTTGAATATTTCGGCAAGCCCAGTTCGTATGCTAGCTTTGCTTTTAACTAAAGTATGATTTTTTTGATTCATACTTTTTCGTATTTTTGGTTTTTAAAGTCCCATTGCCCTCGGCTGTCATCAGAACGAGCTGTGATGTCTTCCGACTTTGCTCTGAGGTTACCGGCTGCATTATCTTAGATTCAGTGTGCAGGTTGCCAGAGGACTCTCTATACTCGTCACTACTATCACGCAGAATTTGGCCCGCGGCCCTGGACAGGTAAGGGTCTCGAAGAGTTTTTCTCTCCTGTTGAGTTCCTTTGGGTGGCGTTGCAAGGAGTGTGGACAGTCTGGTTTTTGGCAATCGTAACTTTTATGTGTGTGAGCAGCATTTCCAGCATCTGCTCTGCTCTCTCAGTAATTTGCGGCGGCTGCTCTGGTTTATGACTGTTCGGCACGCCATTGAGTTTTGTGGCAAAAAACACATTCGTCACCAGATTGAGGCTGTTGAGCGCATCTTTCTTGCGGCTGAGTGACCTTGCTTTTGATTACCTTGCCAGGCTTGTTTTCGATTGTATGGCCAAGTGTGTTTACAATGTTTAGTTTGGCGACAATCTCTTTTTTAAGATGGGCCATTGATTCTTCGGTTGTTTGGTTAATTGCAATTGTCCCGATATCAAGACAGGCTTAATAACATCCTGAATAAACTTGGCTATAGTTGTTTCGCACCATATAGGATCGTATGTGCTCCGCACGTCATACCCGGATATCGTTCGGTTAATTAGTACTTGAATCTGGTCGAGAACAGCGGAGCAGTTGTCACCGGTCACCGGCTGGCTGCAAGTTTACCAGATTTTGAATTATTTGTGAACGATTTACAGGTTGATTGTGATATTTTTCCTGTAATGTTCGAATGATCTAGTTGTAGTTATCAGGAATAAGTTTAATTCCTCTTCTGACGCTCTGGGCTCTGCCTTCAAGGCTTTCCTTGAGCAGTAGAATTTTCTCCATCACGTGGAGCTCAGTACTATTGTGAACAAGTGTTTCGAAAACCGCAAATTCAGGGAATTGTTCTGCATCACCGTTAAATTTTGGTAATGACACTTGTGGAGGCTTTATCGACATACAGGAACTGCAACATACATGTGTATTGTAATAGGAGCCACCATTCCATTAGGCTCCAAATTTGGTGCGCTGGATGAGGCGCTATTTTTCCCTTTTCAGTGCTGATTCTACTCTCTTCTCTAATACTGTGCACTTCCTGTTCTTCTCCTTGGTTATTCTCAATTTGTGCTTTCTGAGAAATATAGCCAAGTTTTACGTTCATTCGTCTCTAGCGCACTTTGCTTCGTCGAGCCGGCTATTATTAGGCTGAGACCTGAATCCTCTTCTATCTGCTCAATTTCTGTGGCTGTCTTTTCTTTCCGTCTTAGATTTGCAGGTTTTGAACTCCTCTCTGATCTCTGCGTATAGTTTCTATAATTTTTCTCGGCCATTTTTTCATTTGGTTTTTAGGCCACTTTGTAACAGTGCCATTGTAGACCTGCACTTCTCATATTGATCCTCAACTATCGTAGAAAAATCTGTTTTTGAAGTGTACTCTTTATGCCGGAGTACTAAATTTTTGGGTATCGAAGCACTCAGTATTATTGGCGTCTTATAGAATTGTAGCGCCATTATTTTATTTGTAAGTTGTTACGAATTACCTTTTTGAAATACTATATTAGCTAAATTAATAGCTTATCTGCTCCTAGTACCCAGTACAGGAGACTTGAGCTGCTTATAAATGCAGGAAGATCGCTCCAGGTACTTTGTACGGGAGATTTGTGAATCAGCTGGTTCGTGGTCTTGAGATTGACCAAATATGAGTTTGCTCAAAAAGCTTGTCTCTTCTCCTGGCCCCAAATTTGTTACGCTTTGACGCGGGAGTGGCTTATTTAGGCCGATGCAGCAGGCTTCTGTGGGTGCTTTTGAGACTTAGGGTTAACATCACCCTTTCATGCCGAATATTCGGTGTTTCAGTGGATTGAGCTATGTGAAAGAGAGAGAGAGGGAAGCGAGAGTAGAAAGACCTTTATCTGACGAACGCAGAAATAACAGTGAGTAACATGTGGTCTGTTTGCTTAACTACAACTCTGCCCCGCCCCCGAAGGTTTTGGTCGAAGGGCATCATCGGCGACGATGATACCCATTTCGGGTGTGTCTCCTCCATTTGCTCTGCCTAGCCAATGCTGACCTTACTAAACTTTTTTCCATCTCTGAGCTGCTTTGTAGCCGAATTATGGCGTTTTTTCAGAAATCCGGGAAGCGCCGCCGATCTCAAGCACGCCTCGCCTATTTCGGGTGCGTCTCCACTGTCCGATCGATTAGCCCTTTGTTAACTTTACTGCGCTGCTCTCCCATCTCGGGACTGCTCTGAACCGAGTTATGATTTTTTTTTCAGTGAAATCTCTAACTTTCGGTGCACGCCCCGCCCACTGTGGGTGGAGCTCATCATGGGTCACGGGCGGGTGCTACTTACATTTTGTCTCATGCCCTACCCATCCCCGCCATGACCCCACCCTCCAGGTCCTTTCCCAGATGCTATGAATTTCGTGACAAACAGACAGACACGCACAAACCCAAACACACACGCAGGTCATAGCCGATTATATAGTAGAATTTTCATTGTCGAACTTAAAGACAATTCCCGCGATCAATTATTGTGAGTAGTGTGAGTCGGCGTTCAGTTCCAGCAGCCAATAAGTGACTCCATTGGAGAAGCGAGCGAAAAATTCATTGAGAACACCTCCAACGAAATCTCTCAACGACAGTCACATAGCCTCATTGTACGAGTTCTCCAGACTTGCTGACGACTCGGCACTCTGCGGCATCTTCGCAAATCCTAGCTCATGAATCCTTTCTTCGCATTCTTCAGTGCTAAATTCCATCTAGGTTCAAAAAAAAAACGAAAAATAAAAAGAGAAACAGAAAATAGCTTCGAAAGACTCCGAGTCCGTGAAATTAAGGCTAACGTAATCAGCGCAATGCAAGACGAGCATCGCTGCTGAATTCAAGCTGCGCCCAAACTCTTCTTTCCTTGCGCCATGGACTGCAATTAGCATATCGTTTTTAAGAACGTATTCAGGTAAAGCAGCACAACTTGTAAGCTTGCACAAGAGTCGGCAAGCTAGGATTCTCAATGACGAGCATAGTAAATCACCCTACGATGCTCCAAGCGACACAATGCACACACGTAAATCGTCGTGTAAGCCGTTGCCTTGCAGAGAAAAATAATAGAGGTTGCAAAGGTCACGCGTCTGTAGCCTCTTTATCCGCCGTTTTGAGTAACGAAGGTGGTACACTCACTGCCAATGCGGGGATACCAACTGAACGGTGGCATCTCGTTGGTTGCTTGATCTCAGGAACTATTTGAAGAACTATCCAAGCACTACATACTCATGATTACAAGATGGAGGTCATAACTGCTGATGTGGTTAGATGCATATATAAAAATAAATGCACATCATATAACTTCGCAATAGCAGATAATTATCGCAAAACTGGAGCACTAGTCAATACCAGTAATAAAGTTTGATTAAGGATTTCTTGGTCTATTATTGTTGAACTTTACGTTACTTCAAATTACCTTTTTGTTCCAAAGCGTTACATGCTCTAATATATGCAATGTTTTGGGTATCGCTGTGTAGCAGCAGCACGTAGTGAGATTCTCCCTGTCCTTAAGCTCCCAATCTGCTCATATTGCTTCTGTTTTTTCTGTCATCTAGAAGGTTCCGGTTCTGATTCTTTCCGTTTGGTCTGACACGTCAGCTACTTGCTCTTCTTCGATCTCATTCGTTACCGTTTTTCTCTTCTTTTCTCATGGTGAATATTCAAAGTGTGCGGTGCAACTAAGGTAGAACCGTGACGAGAAAGAATGATGAAAGTACTGCGAGATGACGGTAGGATCGCAGTCCGTAGTACTTCAATCGCTGTCGTTCCTCTTTTTGCTCAAGCTGCTTCCTTTTCAACTTTCTATGAGGCTTGCCCTCTGCTGTTTTATCCGTAATCCTTTGCTTCAAATGAAGATTACTGAAAGTAGCTAGATCAGTAGGTGAGTCAGCTGTGTCTGAAATAGTGGCAACTATCGGGTCGTTAGTTGTACTCATGAGTATAAAAAAAGGTGGAGATTAAACTAGAAAATGCATTCAAAGTAAACTTGTGGAATGAGACACTGGAACAGTCCAAGAAAGATGAGATGGGCAAGAAAAACCAGCCAGTTCAAGTACTCGGCAGAAGTGCCGCTCTCTAATCTCAATTTCCACCCACTTCAAATTAACGATTTTCGCTTTGTTCTTAAGGTCCTTTAATTTCAAATGCTCGAGTTCCTGCGCAGCTACTCCATGATGAAGGGAGCTTGCAGTCGAAATTTCACGCCAAGGTTGGGTCTACAATTGGTCGCTTTCAATGGCGCAATTCAGTCAATACAAATATCATGGTTCGTATTCAGGTGTCAGAGTCAAATGGACTTTCGTCTGGAACTGCCACTGCTCATCCAACATGCTTGGCCAGGATGTGGATGCCGCCCAGGAAAAATATCGTGCAATTTTTTGCAAATATGGTGTTACTCCATATTCCTAAAATTGATTTCGTAGTAGCATGTTCTCGAATTCAGCCTATAATGGACTGTAATGAGCACGAAGTAGATTTTGATTCTAATGGTGAAGCTGAGAGTAATGTAGCAAACATGTCAGAGTACATGAGGTTGGTGACAGGACCTAATTATCCGTGTAACATCACTTTGAATGGGTGTGCATATTGTGATGAGCTTTAGTTTTCAGTTTTAAAACTTTCAGAAATGACACTACCACTCCGAAGTCCATCGTTTGGCAGTTGCTCCGTCTTGCTGTCATAGAGCAGCAGATATACCGAATCCATCAGTTCTTGAAGGTTGCTGGATTTGATCTCTGTGGTAAGGAGTATTTGCAGTATTCTTCAGCTTCTGTATTCTCACAACATCGGCATGCGAGTGTTTCACTCCTTCTGGACCCCGTGAGATTTCTAGATAAAACATTTATTCAGTAAGGTCCTACGTTTCTCCAGAATCGTCATCCTCACGGGTCCACGGTTGCCGTTTGAGCGAAAAGAGTCTACTGCGACTAGAGCACGCCATCGTTGTGATGATCACAACGAGGCCTCGTATTTGACCGCGAGGGAGAGGGGGGGGGGGTCGTAAGCGCATGGCCCATTCTGAAGTGCAGAGAGCAGTGGTACTCAGATGTCGCTTAGCGTCAATGCTGAAAGACTTATCAATGTGAAAAACCCCTGAAGAGACACACACACAAGGCAGAAGCAACCTGTCAGCGCAGAAGTGGGGAATGGGCGATGGCAGGAAATACGATGACCGCCCAGAAGGACGTCAGGATTTAACAAACAGATGGAAGTGCGCTTCTGGACCTTCCGACCGCAGGAGCACATCTACTTGCGCGGAGGAAGCCCTATCTAGAAGTGGCACCTTCCCAATACTTTGCCTGAGAGCCCTTACATGGCGCATCGCAGAGGTGATACCTGGCGCCCAATGAAGCGTTTCCTGATATTCTTGGCGAAAACATGTGTTTCAGAAGCATACCAAAGCCTTTAAATGAACTGGAAGTGGTATGGTGTCAGAGGGCTGGGTTTTTCGTGTTGTTCGGAAGGGGTTGCGTAATGATCACAACGGGGATTTTTTTGAATAGCAAGCCTAGGGATAAAATGAAAATCTTGCTAAAAAGTAGAAAGCTTCGAAATTCTGTCACTGCTTTTTGTTTCACAAGTCAATGCATGAAGATTATTATGGCAGTTCAAAGCGTAAGGACTTGTAGGTGATCCCCAATGATCACAACAGAATCACAACGGATCACAATTCCTTGGAAAGAAATTTGTTTGAAATCGCTTACACTCAGGCAGCAGGTGCCAACCTAGTGCTCCACAGTCCTGCTTTCCCTCCCCTCCACTCTTAAAGAAGTTATGGGTGTTCAAGTTAAGGGTACTTTCCAACTGTTTTACGTGGAACTGGCACCGGATCATGAAATAACTCGCTCCAATACCTCGGTACAAAGCGCCAACCCTGATTGCACCTTTGACTGGGCGCGAACGATTAATATTCAGATGTTAGCACATGGATTTTTTTTCTTTTTCTTTTTTTTCTTATGTTCGTCCTTTATTGTTTCTTTTATGGTTTTATTTGTATTTGTTCTATTTATTTATTGTATTCTATTATAGTCTTCATTTTCTTCGCGTTTCTCACATTTATCTTTGTTTACCGTCGCGTCTTTTATTTGTCGTTTATTTCCTTCCATCTTTCTTCCATCTTTCATTTTTTCCGTGTTTGTGAGTCCGCTGCTATTGTGGTCCGCTGCTAACAGATTAGCAGCGAACAGGTTGGCGGTTTGACGGTTTGGTCGAAAGGAGAGGCGTTATCAAAAACCATATCACACCTGGCAGCCTCGCGAGGCAGCAAAAAGATGAAATACTTGTATTTGCACTTTGGTTCCAGAACAGACTAGACAACGGCAAAAGGCGAGCAAGGATGTGCCGGAGCTCCGCTATAGAAGCGAGATTTACGCGCTCACCGTGTGGGGAGCTGTGTCGATGTGGACGGGCGAAGGTCAAAAAATCACGAATTAGTTGCAGGGCAGCATAGGCACCGAAGCTAAGTAGGATAAGGTCCACAAGGCATTAGCGGACGCAGTGAGGGAGCTATAACAAAAATAGGCGGACTGCTTCCGATGAGCAGTGCTCGCTGCAAAATTTCGTGGTTCTTATCTGACGAACTTGGAGATCAGGAAAAACTGCTGGACAAGAGAAATTAGCGTATGTAGCGAGAGTTGAGTATGTATATGGTGTGTTGAGCCCTCCGTGAGTGAAGCGTGTCCTCAAGCGCGAGGTACCCATTTTCCTGCGTTTTAGCGCATGGCCGTCATACTCTCGAACTATTGTCGTCACAGGTACACTTGATTCCAGTCGGTTCGCTGACTGACGCCTGTGCGACTCTCTAATGTCGTCATAATCAGCCAGGCTTTGCCGATTTTTCTTGGTTTCGTCGCGCCTACGTCCTTCCGTATGTTTGAATGCTCAACTAAGACCGGGCTTTTCTCCCATCTGCGCACTTGATCACACTGCTTACCACCATTTCGTAGATTTCGTGGTAATAAAGTCGAAATTAGCAGGTATGATGTTAATGGTCAAGGAGTGTTGACAGTGTGTACAGATGAAGAGAAAGCCGAATAACTGTTGAGTATTCGAACATGCAAAATAAAGTACGCGCGGCGAAGCTGTGTCTGCCCCGCCAAGTCGGGCTATGTCACAGAACAAGGCACGCCGGCATCAGCTGACGAGTCAACTGGTATATAATGATTGACTTCTTTGGTTATTTCATTTCCAATGCTTATTCTTGCTCGTGGAGTAAACTACTCGTGTATCCATTTTGTCTTGAATAAAATCATCTCGTTACCGATCTGTTTGGATTTGTTCTGTCAGTCGGTCGGCCTACTCTGCAGTTCTGAGTAAATAATGCGTAAGAATGGAACAGTCATTAGCGAAAAGCAGATGTGTTAAGCGTTCACCGTCGATGTCTATACCGTCACCACAAGCAAGGTCACTGAAAACTGCTTCAAGGGATATTGCAAATAATTTCGGCGAAATCGTGTCGCCTTGGCGGACGTTCCTTTTAAAGTAGATATTAAACAAATGTAGATAGTATGGTTTGTGTGCAACGGACCTGCATAACCACAAAAAGTTTCACATGTGCCCTTGAAGTGTCCTCAATGTTTGATGCAGCCTCTAGAAACGGCTATCCTCATAATAAAAGTTTTCAAAAGGAACTAGAAATAGAGAATCGGCAGCCTTCCATTGCCAAATAATCAAAGAACTAGGTAACTTGGCCAAACAGAAATGCTAGGGACTCATATGAAGTGTTTCAAACAAAAGCAAGAATTTTTAAGAGTCAAGGGTCCCAACCTGCCACATCGCGTCTCCGGCAGTGCGCGTATACACTACGCCATCGTCCGCTTGCAGTTATCGTGATCCGTAGCTCCAGAATCGTTCCGCAAATTCCGAAGGCAGATTTGGATTCAGCGGCTCAAGACACGTCTATATACAGGGGGGGGGAAGCAAAAGTCACTTCGACCGAGTCACATATTAGCAAACTTTCCGCTGCCCAGGCAGAGGACGTGGATACTAGTACCAGGGCGGAAGATCCCCAAGAAGTTCCTCTATAAGCAAGAGCTGGCTCTCGCCCATCACCTTCATGTACACCAGAATATGAAGTCATCTCCAGTCGCAGCCTGGCTGGAGAGGACCTTTAGAATTTATATCACCTCCACACAGGACACTTCTAGTATGGAGTTACCCATGGATATTTACCTGGAGACCAGTACTCTCGAACTAGATGATCTCCAAAATCGAGCAGCTCCGACAACGTCGCCACTGTCTAGGACATCATCTTCACCACAGTCGCCAAGGCGCGGGTTGATGGTATGGAGGAGTACCTGGAATGGAAAGACCAATACTCTCTTCGTGGACCCCGGACTAAGGTGAGCGCTGGCGGTTACATCGAGCAACACGTGAAGAATATCCTCCTACACATTGCGTCGGCCCGTACCTTCTTGGAAACTTTGTACTGCTACAGCATTGGGTGCCACCACATGGAATCGAAGGGCATTGGAGAAACTCTCGCCTACTTGGAAGGGAAGGGGGCTGAATACCTAAAGAAGGTGGAATATTCAAGTAGGTCACCTGACCTGAATAACCTCAATTACCCGGTTCGGGCGGAGTTCACTAGAGTGGCCTACGGTGGCGGAGAAGTCGACAATCTCACTGATCTCAGGTACACATCGCGGTCGCGTGCTAGAATCTCTCGATGGCGCTCGGCGAACGCGCTCGTCCAGAAGGCTGTGGCGGAGTGTCTTGATAGTATTTAATATGCTCCTTAATATGGTGGTGAAAATGTCCGATCAGATTTTAATAAAGTGTACCTTAGCGCCTCGGAAGTCAATGAAGAAAAGTGACTTTTTTTGTCCCCTCCTCCCCGTATGGACATCTCACCCCCCCCCCCTCTGTATGTACATCTCATTGCAAATAGCCGGATCGACCTGTTGGGGTTCCCTTGTAAGCCATATATCCCTCTTCACTTTTTCAGGCTCATCTTCCTGCCGCACCTTTCGCACCTTTCTTCTGTTACACTTCATAGTCTTCTATGATCTTCTTCCTTATCGTTTCGCAGAGCATCTTGAACTCATCATTTTGCACTTAACCTTCATATTTCATACGTGATCTCTTGTCCATCATTTGTATTGCTTTCGCCAATATTCGCTGACGACTTGCTGCTCTTCTTCTGTACTGGAACTGTTAACAGCAACAGTCATTTTGTGATAAGCATAGAAAATTTATCTGACGGTCCGTCTGCAATTCCGATGATGATGATGATGATGTTAGAATTAGAGAATCATTAGAAGCAATCAAATAGGCTTTGATAATTCTTTGCCACTTTTTCACCAATGACTGACAGCCACATAGGTGGTGACGTCTGCTCCTCCCCGCGGTGCCACTGGGTACTGCACGCTTTGCGAGTTGCTAAACGCAGACACACGAATGCAGGTGACAGGCCTCCGTGACGGGCCGGCCCACAAACACCCATGTCACATCATCTTGTTTGATCATGCCATATGTATATCGCGATAATGCTACGGCGTCTGCGGGAGCCGACGCGCACTCGTATGGCCCGGCGAGTGTGGAAAACATGAATATGCGAGGGTCCTTGGTGCAAGGACGGCATCGGGAGGCGACCAGGCTAGTCCAGATTTCAGGCAGTGTAGCACGCAAAGTCCGTATTGCAACGTTGAACATGGGAACCTTGACCGGACGGATGGTCCAGTTGCAAGTCGAGAGACATCGGTCGCGGCTTCAAAGCCGTTTTTTTTTGGCAAACCAAGGACTACTAACGAAGTGGCCATAATCGTCTATCAACGTTTCCGTGACTCGATAGCTAGCGTGTAAGTTTCGACGATCGTTTGATGAAGATTGTTCTAGCTGTCAAGCAACGACTG